TACGCCACCACCTTTGCATTATCGATCGTGATCTCGTAGCCAGTCTGTTCACAGTTTTCCCAGATTTGTGACCTCGGATCAGCGCTTCGGAGGGCAAGCTTGTTGTCGTGTAGGCGAGTGCGTAGTTGTTTGCCTATCTCACCTATGTAGTGTTGGTTGCAGCTCCGGCACGGGATTGCGTAGAGTACTGTCTTATCCGAAAGTTGAAGTTGTTCCTTATCCAAATGGTCTTTTTTGCATTCCTCGACTTTATTTGCTGATGCGACTTCCACTTTTGCTTCTTCCCATGATATAAAAGGGCCCTTTACTCGTCCTCATCCTGCTGTATGGCGAGTCGTATTTGGAGCCAGTTTGGTGTACTTCTTGTGTCTTGTGGTCACTGTATTTCTGCGTCTGGACGAGGCTCGTCAGATAATTATTTGGTTCTTTCCGGAGTTGAAGTCAATGCGTCACTCAGATATCCTGGATAAAGAATATGCTGTGAACTGCAGTGAGGTGAGCTGTCTGAACGAATGGAACGGATATATGATAATATTGCCTTATGGTTTTGCAATTATTCAGTTAGCGACTCATGATAGGCATTACTGGTAGAATTGGTTAGAACCTTCATAAATCCTTCTAATCCATCCCTTTGTGCATGGTTAATGGTTATGTGAACTGAAACTGAAAATTCGCTGATGAAGCTAATGTTCACGCTTCTTTTTAAGCGCACTGCTAACTCCAACAATAGCGATAAGCGCTCCTCTCTCAGTCATACCCTAAATTCTGATCTTGGCTGCTTGATGCTGGTTTTAGACCTGGTCGAGGTTGTATCGACCACATCTTCACTCCTCGTCACATTATAGAACACAGACACTCCTTTCATATACCCACCATTTCTGTCTTCCTCCACCTGAAAGCGGCTTTCCACTCAGTCGACCGTTCCAAACTCTGGGATAGCCTCACTTCAAAGAATGGGGCCCCAGAAGTTTATTTCTATCATACAATCATTTTATACTAATAGCCGGAGCCGAGCCTACGTCACTTTTTCACCCGAGTTCACTACATATAGTGGTATTCGATAGGGTTGCCCTCCTTTTCTATTGAACTTTGTTATAGATTTAATTCTTGAAAAAACCCGATCATTTTGTGGGGATAGTGGCATCGATTCACTCCCAGGTGGCAGACTGTCTGATCTAAAGTATGCAGACAACATTGTGCTACTAAGTGAAGATTCAGGTAAGCTGCAAGCTTTTCTGGATGGTTTGAGTGCTAGCGTAGCCATGTTCGGTATGCGCTTTACACCTTCAAAATGTAAAATGCTGCTCCAAGATTTGGTTTGGCCCTATCCCCAACCTCATCCTGACTGGGGAAGTTGTAGAGAAAGTAGACAAGTTTTGCTATCTGGGCAGCTATATCTCACCTGGCGGACGCATCACAGATGAAATGTCGGCGCGCATACAAAAAGCTCCGTTGGCATTTGCCAACTTGAGACATTTGTGGCGCCGTCGCGACATCTGGTTGTCTATGAAGGGTCGAGTATATGCTGCAGCAGTTCGTCCAGTTCTGCTTTACGATGCATAGATTTGGCCGTTGCGGGAGCAGGATAAAAATAGATTGTCGGTGTTCGAATACCGCTGTGTATGTCGCATTGCACGAATCTGTTGGGAAAACCGGACGATCAGTGCTGAGGTTAGACGTAGAGTTTTAGGTAATCGCGGTCTCAACATTCTAATCATCATTCTACTCTTTTACCCAAATGAGAACCAAAAGACAGCAACCAAAACCGGCGCACGAAAGTGCATGGTTAATGGTTTTATGAACTGAACTGATCTGTAGATTTCTTCACTTACGCGGTCAGTTTTGTAACGTGGCGTTAACACGTAAGACGCAGCCGTGTGTACTATGATCGAATGGCGTACTTTGAGCCGAAAAGCATTTGGATGTCGACTGTGAGTTGGCGATCGCGGATGTTTGTGTGACTTATCTTCTTCCCATAGTAGTATCCTGAAGTGTTTTCACCATACTTCCTGTCATCTATTTTTGATCAGTACTCATTTTGGGTAGCTTGACAGTTACTCAAAGGTGCATGGATAATAGTTATAAAAACGGGCTCAAACTGAGTTCAACGTCGAAAAAATTGGGTTGAACTTAATTTTGACTCCTTCCGTTTGTAATATCTTGCTGTGTTGCACTGAATTGGCCATTGCGGAATGCTTTGTTTTGTTTTCCAATTCATAGGAGATACCGTTAGGTCTTCCTTGCTCTGATGAATAGCCTATTCGTTGCACGTCAAACTGTTCAACTGTGTTTATTTTGCATGAAGTATCGAACCAAAATTGAGTCAACCAGAAAGCGTTATTTTAAACTGTACTAAATAGTAATTAACAAAGCATTCTCTCACCAAAAGCCCTAGGTTCAAATTTCGTCAAGTTCACATTGCCTAGATAAAACACCATTATGACATTCACGAAACAGTGTTATCCTAAAAGTTGTTCCCCCTAATATTGTTAGTCTCTAACCAAGTTAATTACACATGACAATCTAATGAGTAGGGACTGAGTCCGTTTGCAGCAGAGTGACAAGCCTATACATGTACACTGGGTAAGTGAGCAGCAATAGTTGATGCCGATACGTAAAATGCTATGCCTGTTGATTCACTATCATGACTTTCAGTGTCTCATACCGATTGGAACGATGTGTTTATGTTTTATTTACGATCAGAAGAAGCGTTTGTACCATCAGCTATTTATGTCCAAATAAGGTCTAATTCATTCTGTACTTTTAAGCGACTAGGCCCTACATGATCATAATTCGTCTTTATTGATGAATCTGCGGAGAATTTTGGGAGTACAGCGCAAAGCGACATCTTCATGTCTGCTGAGCCTTTTTGCGAATATGCCTGTTCGCTGCATAAGCCCGTGCTAGCGCAAAAGGATGTTGACAATAGTTATATACTGTTAAGCAACACTTTTGCATTTACGTCCTTTACTGAATGGCTTAAATGAGATCGGTTGTTAATCGAAAAGAAAACCTGCCACTTTCTTAAACCAGCGTAGATACTTCGGGGCTGTTTATCCAACTTCTCACAGTTGACCACTTGATCGACTGTTCCTTCTTCGTTAGTGTAGAGACTTGTCCGATAGAATAGGCCCCGAGATGTGTTTGAATCCCACTGTACCGGACTGTCGTCCAGTGGTTGAGTGACTCGTAGATACGAATCCCAAGTCCGATTCCAGATAACGAGAATTCGGTAATCTACGTGTACTATAAGCAGACAAATATGCACAAAACCAAACACCATACCTCAAATTGTGGGCGAATCCGGTCTCCACGGTACAAGAACGAAATACAATGCAGAACCAAGCACCTGCGGAGCGGTCACCAAAAGGAATGCAAACGGCCTAGAAAAGGGACGATTTAAGGGATAGAAACATCAATCACAAGTTCTCGATAAAGAAGCGCAGTTATTGG